TCAAGCGACAGGGGGAGGAAGAACAGTGTGTGGGGACCACAAGTGAGTTTTCTTTTCTGCTGCTGCTCGAAAATCAAATTGTGAGTTTTAGGGTACTGCGGTTCCGGCAGCGGTCAACATTACTTTCAAGGATGTGCAATTCGCGTATCCTCACAGACCAGGCGCTCAGGTCGGTAACATTATTTTCATATGTTGCATGTGGTTTTCAGATTCTATCTGGTTTGAGCTTCGAGATTGAGGCTGGTAAAACTGTGGCTTTGGTGGGCCCAAGCGGCGGAGGGAAATCGACTGTGTTCGCCCTTCTGCAGCGATTTTATGACCCCACTGGTGGCGAGGTAGGTCCTAGCAGACTAGCAGGATATAGATCATGTACTCATTTGCAGATACTAGTTGAGCCTGCTCAGGCTCGTCTAGAAGATATGAATGTTGGCTGGTGGCGAAGTCAGATTGGGTTTGTAGCACAAGAGCCTGTTCTCTTCGACTTGAGCTTGGAAGAGAACGTTCGATACGGGTGGCCACCACCACCTTATGCTGCATCAACGACTGGTTAGTTGGCATTCCTCAGGTCACCACCTGTTGGGCGCCCGGAGATGCTCTCTATTTGTGGTCGGGCTGGTATGAATGACTTTGCTGGTAACAAGGTGGCTTGGGATGCCGGTTTGGGCCCTCGAGGTGGTCTACTATCGGGAGGCCAGAAGCAGAGGGTGGCCATTGCTAGGGCATTGATGCGGCATCCGAGGTGAGTGGTTATGCTTGCCCATTCTCCTGGATGTTGTTCATCAGGTTACTCATGCTCGACGAGGCGACCTCTGCATTGGATTCGGCATCAGAAGCAGTAGTGCAGAAGGCTATTGATGAGCTGACTACGACGAGACAATCCTCCACTGATGGTGACGATATGGGCGGTCGTGGCTGCCTGCTTTTATGTTTGGATAGTAGGTACGGTGGTAAAGCCAACAACACTGATCATAGCCCATCGTTTATCGACTATCACCAATGCTGA